GTTGATATGGTAGAAATTAATAAAGTAAAAAGTTATCTTCATGACATGTTAGAATTAAAGATTTGGTGAGGAAGTTTTTTGGGCCTTGAGGTATCTCGTTCTAAAAATGTATAAACTTGTGTCAGAGGAAATTTACTATGATCTGTTAAAGGAAACATGTTTTCTGTGTTCTAAACCCACTGTTACACCTATAGTTGCAAGCAGTAGGTTGTCCAAAAATCAAGGCCAACTACTTTATAATAGTACAGGTTATATAAAACTTTTTGGTAAATTATTATATCTTACTAATATAGACCATCCATTGCTTATGATGTGCAATAACTTTCTCAATTTTTATCAGTTCCTACTGAGGATCATTTAAATGTAGTAGATAGAGTTCATTGATATCTAAAGGAGACTCCAAGGCAAGAATTGTTCTTTCCTACAAAGAGTGGCATGAAGATTAAGGCGTTTAGTGACTCATATTGGGCTTCTTGTCCTGATTCACGAAGATCTCTCACTAGTTTTTGTGTTTTTTAGGTCTTGCTCTAATCTCATGGAAGTCTAGAAGCAACAAACAGTTCTTGATCATCTAGTGAAGCAGAATATCAAGCAATGGTTGCTATCACGTGTGAAATACAATGGTTGCTATCACGTGTGAAATACAATGGTTGCAGTTTCTTCTCAATTATTTAAATATTTCTTCAATATCTGCAAATCTTTATTGTGATAATCTCTCGGCTATTCTCATTGTAGAGAATCCAGTTTAACATGAGCGCGCTAAACACATAGAAAGTGATTGCCATCTAATCAGACAAAAACTGCAACAGGGTGTCATTGTCTTATTACCAGTCTAATCTCAAAATCAATTAGTCGATTTTTTACCAATGCTTTGCCTACACATTCTTTTTAACGGTCCATTGTCAAGTTGGGCATTCAAAATTTGTATGCTCCAACTTGATGGGAGCTAACAGAATGTATGGGTTGGTTAGATAGGTTAACAGATTATAAAGGTTGGTTGGTTAGTTAGGAGAAAGTTAGTTGTAGTTGATGCAAGCTATCTGTATAAATAAGTAAGTCTAATTGTAAATGATCAGATTTGTGAAATAATAATAAAGCTCTTTTCTCAAGTTCTACAATAGCTTTTTGTCTCGTATATGTGATCATTGTTTCATTTGGCTCAAAAAAAAAGAAAGAAAGATAAAAGTACTGAACGAAAAAAAGTGTAGAATGCTAAGATCAAGAACATCAAAATGTAGTGGAAAAAACCCAGCAAAAAACAACATTAAAAGAATAAATTTTGACTGAAATTTCACTTGATGATGTTAATAGTGTGCGAGCCAAAGTTGTCATTGGAGTATCCAAGGAGACTTAGGTGTGCGGATTTCATCAGATGATTATAGAGAAGAAGAAACAACCGGTGGTCAAACCAAAGGACTGTGGAGATGAACCCAAAAGAAGAAAGAGATGAACCCGATCTTTGAAGAGACATGACTATTTAACGTGGCGGTCAATCCAGTCGAGGTAAGCTGTAAACGGTCTAACTGTGCATTATGTCACGTCTATTAACGGTGATTAACGTTGAGTGATTAATTTGTAACAAATCGATAACATTAATGACCGATTTATTACTTTTGAATCTTCAGTGAAGAAAACAAAAATTTACTCAAACATTCGAAGATATTTGTGTAGTTTACCCTTTTTAATACCATCTTTCAGTGGAATTTCTGCATGAGAGGAGCAACTTTTCTAACGGGTCATTTATTTCTACTTGGATCTTCTCTGAAAAGAAAAGAAAGTTGGGGCCAGCTTGGTGGATAGTTTTTTCTATAAAAAAAATAGAACTGTTGTATGTTGAAGAAAATCAAGACATTGCAGCCCAGCTTGAGTAATTGAAGTTTGTTCTGTGAAGCATTGTAAATACCGCAAATTTGAAACTTCCCCAGCATTTAAGTCTACGTTTTTTCTTTTTTGCGTTATTGAATTGTCGCTTTTGTCGATGCCCAAACATGCTGTTTAGGTTCAAACACAGTTTTGTCCGGTGCTGCTTAGGTTTATTTCTTTATTATGCTATTATTTTGGCTCTATTTGATCATGTGCAGAGGTGTACCTAGGGTGGGAGTTAAGCTTTCATAAAACTGCAGATCTTGTGAGTCACTTAAAGAAACCTGAGTCCCTGAGCCATATATTTTGTAATGTAAAATATGGACAGCTTAGTTCTTAGCTGGAATCACTACCATTGCTGCAGTGCAGGATAGGCTATTTTGTTATAATTACATAAATCCGGCATCGGTTGAAAAGATGATTCAAAACCGCTAGAATTATTTTGGTTCTGGAGCAGTAACATAAGGTTCAAAGAAGCAAGAAACAATAACTTTATCATCTGAAGCAGAATATGCAGCAACAACAGCAGAGGTGCCGCAAGCTTTGTGACTCAGAAAGCTTTTTAGTATTCCAATCTTGAACAAAAGGAGATATTTGTGACAAATCAACCCACAATTGCAATAACAAAGACTCCTTTTTTTCATGGCAGAACTAAGCACATTGACGGGCATCAACATTTTATTCCGAAGCTTGCCGCTGATGAAATTTTGCATCACAAATGAGCATATAACTGGTGTATTTACAAAGTCTATTTCTCAGGCATCATTTTTTCAGATCACAGTTGGGAGTGTGTGATTTTGCATCAAGGGGGAAGTTCTAAAATGCTGGTGCAACATTAAACCTGTTAAAGCTTTAATTTTGGTTTATCATTAGTGATGTTAAGCCGATAAATAGTTCCAATGAAGAATGTGGCAGTGTTATTATAGTAGGATGTGTAGCTGCATAAGAACATAGAGAATGAGGTAAACAAATGGTAAAGATTTTTCTGATGAGATTTAGGACTATGGTTTGCACCAATCCGAGGTGGTTGGCTATTAGACTGTTCAATCCAAAGAGATAAGGAAAGTCGAGGAAAGGGATTATAATTGTAGAAGTGGAGAGGGCAGGGCCATGCCCTAAAATGTCCTTTTAGAAAGAGTTGGGATGCTCTTTTGCCTTGCTTATTGTAGCTGTCAATCTTTTTCCCTGCCCCCACCTTGCATGCCACCACCGTCCCCATCGTTCCACTTGATCCAATATCTTCTGCAATTATTACATCGAATTCTGAATGAAAATGGTTATCTTCCTTCGGTCGTATTACTCTTGCTTTGAATTGCTCCTCTCTCGTCTTTCAACAGCTGCCATATGTAAATTACATTGGGTTAACTTTCTTTTTGAGGGGAAGTGAAGGTATTGTAAATGGAGTCCAGTTAAAACAAGTTGATGCAAAAGGTGAGAGGGACGTGTTCATCTTGTTCATGAAGCATGCTGCTGAACTCTCAGTAATTAAAAGGATTGCTGGAGGACCACATTTATCTTTTCTTACAAAAAGTTACTATAAATAAGATCTCATCCAGATTTCCTCTGCCTCTTCTTCCCTTTAAGACAGTGAAATTGAAAGCTTTATTAGTGTTGGAGATCATCTGTAATCTTGCCAAAGTTTTAATAAAATGCATAAAGTGGTTAATTTCTCGATTGCATTTGTGTGCACCAAGGCCCAGGATTGCATTTGCAACCCACTTTTAGCTATTTCTTTCTCAGCTTGATCAAAGCTTCCTGATTATACATGAAGAAGGTTGTGCAATTCAAAAGAATGAGACAAAAAGGGTTAATCTCACATTGAAACCTGCAATTTTATCAGCAAAGTCTCTGCAGATGCCATTTTGGATGACCTTGAAGATAAAGCTGGAAACCTTTCTTGCTCTTAGAACTAGCGAGATACTGCAGCTATGACATGTAAGAATCTGGATCACATATCTCACAATTTTGATACTTTTTATTGACTTCTTATCAATTATCATTTGCATCCACAGAGGTGTTGGGCCAGGCTCAGATTCATGGGCACTTAACATAGCCAGATATAAATAATCCTGTCATCAGCATAATTGATTCATAAGACTCATCCATCAACCTTTCAGGACCAATGCAACTACAACAATAGACAAACACATGTATATTGACATCAAAATATTCTTAGAAAAGAAAGGGGCGAAAAAAATTACGCTTAAATGATGTTTTGAATGCTTGTTGCAACATCACTTTCTTAAACCTTAAATAGATTCAGATCTAACCATTGCTCTAATTCCATGCTAAGCAAACTTGACTTTTATAATTAAATGAACACATTTTCCCTTTTTTCTTCTTATTTTCCCCTTTGTGTCATTAGCAAATGAAGTGCCTCTTACTGAAAATCAAAGATAAATCTAGACCTGTTAAACTTTTTTTTATATCAATATTCTGATGTAGACCTGTTAAAATGAAAATGAACCAGAAGTATAACTTTTTGCCATGGAAAACAGTTTTCCAGAATCAAGAGACTTGTTGCATACAGGGTATATTCTTATCTAATATATATGCAAGAAACATTTTTTTCCAAATGAACTGCAAGTCGTGTAGCAATTTTAAACTATTCAAGAACACTAATGGGGAATCCTTTTTCTGTGACTGTCTGTCTGGCCCTTTGGGCACTAAAGAAGGATGACCCCAGTTGTCATATTATTGTGAATTGCAAATTACTAGAGTTTGCATGGTGAGATAATAATCCCGCCAAAGATCTCACATTATCGTACCCTAATCAAACAGAATTATTAAAACCAACTGTTTGAACCTGTTTCACATTTGTCCGTTCCGCTCTTCTCAAGGAAAGACACAAAATTAAAGAAGCTTCCGTGGGGAACCTGTCTGCTCTAGAAAACTCATTTCCAAGTCCTTACCCTTTAGCAGGGAGAGTGTATCAAACTCGCCCAACAATCTTGTTTTGGGGTTTTAAACCTCTCCATTTTCTTACGTTTAAAGTATTAAATCAAACCATAAATGACCTGGTCCCTCCGTCAGAGATTTTTCCTTTGGAGCGTGTTGCTTTCACACTGACTTGTCCAGCGTATGGAAATGTGGCTATTCTTTTCTTACTGTTGCTTTTTATATGTGCGACTTTAACTAGGACTCTTTCTCGGGTGCCAACTCTACTTTATCTCTCACTCTCTCTTGCCTTCTTCTGTGAGTGACAATGGAAGCTGGACTTCCAATGCTTAACTGTCTCCTGCAGCACACGCTACGGAGCTTGTGTTCATATTCGGATTCTTCTTCTCCTTCTTCAAAGTGGGTTTATGCTGTATTTTGGAGGATACTGCCTCGTAATTATCCGCCACTTAAGTAAGAAAACTAAAAGGAAAGCTTACTAGTAAATGTCAAAGGCCATTGTTCTAACGTTCACTGGGTCAAATTGCTCTCTTGCAGGTGGGATTATGAAGGGAGTGCACTTGATCGTTCCAAAGGAAACAAAAAGAACTGGTAATTTAGTTATTTTTTTCTTGAGGCACGTGCATGTCTGGTTTTTGTTCCATTTTAAGCTCCTGAATGACTTTGTGTTATAGGATGCTTGTCTGGGAAGATGGGTTTTGTGATTTCCATGAATGTGAACGTGCTGGAAGTGGCTATGTAAAGGGAAGGTTTGGAGCTGATATATTCTTCAAATTGTCTCATGAAGTTTATAATTATGGAGAAGGGTGAGAATTCCTTTAACTATAGTTAAATTCCTTACAGAAAATTGAAAGGCTGCACGGTGAAGTTAATGGCACCTTGATTACAGGTTAGTAGGGAAAATTGCAGCAGATAACAGTCACAAATGGGTGTATAAAGAAACCCCAAATGATAATGATCCTAAATTCATCTCCTCCTGGAATTTGTCTATTGAGCCTGTAAGATAACATGTCTAGTTGTTTATTTCATCCTCAACGGGATTCACGTAAGTGAATGAACATTTCTCTAGTTTTTTTTTTTAATTCCTTTAAGCAGCAACCTAGGGCGTGGGAATCTCAGTTCAATCCAGGCATTCAGGTTGGTAATACACCAAGTAAACTATGTGAAAAGAGAATTTTAACTGTAAGGGCCGCCGGCAATAGCCCCATTCAAAAGCTCATTAAAGTTTCTGTTGATATACAGACAATTGCCATAATTTCTGTCAGAGAAGGGATTATTCAACTAGGTTCATTGGACAAGGTCTCTCTCTTTTTCCTTCTTTTGTTTTTCTGTTGAATATATATACATTTTGGCTTTAAGTGTGTCAATGAATGATGGGATTTTTCAGATGGTGGAAGATCTTAATCTGGTGATCAGCATACAGAGGAAATTCAGCTATCTCCAGAGCATACCTGGCGTCTTTGCCATTCAAAGACCATACTTACCAATTCAACATCCATACGCCCTCAAACCGAAAAACCTGTTGTCGGAAAATCACGAAACATCAATCTGTCATGATGACAAACGCCGGTTAGGTGGAATGAAAAGATTTGTCGATGAAAGACCAGAGGATTCTCCGATCAAATCAATCAACTTAGGTTGGAACAGCCCTCAAAATGGAATTATAGGACCACCCTTTTGGTCAATTCCACCCCTTGTTCCTACCGTGTCTTGCAGTCTTGGAGCTTTGTTATCCAAGTTGCCTTCTGTCATCCCATCTTATAATGCCATTGAACCTCCTGAAATAACTCTCATCAACCACCCCAACACTACAAACCAGAGAGGGAAGGATGATAATGGAGGCTCAGTAGGTGAAATTCCCATAGCCGAGTCAAAAACAGAACCTTTAAGTCAATTGGAAGCTGCTGATCAGGAGAAGCCAAGACCTGTAAAAGCTAATTTAGTGCTACAAGAAGATGCTGTAATACAACTGGGATTTGGGCCTCTCAAAGACTGACAAGAACATAGTTTGAACTCTGAAGCTTGACTAATTAGGATAATCAAATATTTTATTATCGAAATGATACGATTTTTCTCCTTTTTGTTCATGTAGTTGTTTCTGCATCACTTTCCTATGGTCGTGTCTATAAAATATTAGAGTTATTTAATAAAACGTAATGAGCTGGTTGATTATACTGATTAAGAAAAAGTGAGAGAATGGAAAGCAAGGAGGTGACTGGTGATATGAAAGAACTTAAACAGAACAAAATAGTGCTTTTAGTTTTTAAAATACGAGCTTAGGACTTAATATAATTGCCAAACTATAGCATTTGATTGTAGTGTTTTTTTTTTTTTGTGCTTTCATAATCAAGACAGATATTATATGGGTTATGCCAATTGCCGAAGGCAACTGCTGTCGATAAGGGCAAGGGTGGGGTTCAGCCACGATGGTCTAATCATTGTCCCTTCCTGCAATGGTCCCCTATAAATATCAAATTGAAGATGAAGAATGACGGTGCTTAATTGAGTTGTTTATGACATTTGGTGTCTGGCCCCCTCCTCCCACCAGACACAGTGGATGGTCCCCAACCCCTTAGCTTTTTTCAATATTTTGGGTCATTACTTAAGAAAATGAGTTGTGATTTATGTTGTCACGCATGCCATTTGGGCAAAGGGGTCATTTTTGTTAGCAGGCAAGATAGTAACATTAGTCTAAAACACCATTATTTTGAGTCGAGAAAAACTTTCAGAGATTGCCTCCGCTACTTGCATACTACGTTTTTATAGTTTTTGACGGCAACCCTCCTAAAGCTCCACTCTATATGTGTGATAAAATGGAAAGCTTTTTCTCCTTGAAATACATGTTCTCCTCCTTTTGAGTAAAGGGCTGTAGTTGAGATGCTTGGCAATCATATAGAATGGAGACAAGTTGACTGTGAGAACTGTACTTATATTTTATTAATTCACTGTACTCGAGGCTTCTGTTATGTTGGTTGACATTTGAATGTTATGCTCATGTTCAGACCTTTTCTTAGTTTGCAGAAAATATGAACAATCAGCTACAATACTTGCTTCTTGAAGTTTGCAGTGTTAAGTATGGAAAAATGTAAGAGTGAAGATCAGAATATTTCAGAGGTGTTACTTGTAAACAACAGTTGTGGCTTCTAAGAAGTTAGATGTTCTCTGGCCTGTCAGCTATCAGTTATGTAGTTTTCTTTTTGCTGTTCTGCGGGGTACTAAAGCCCTGGAAAATCTGGAGCAACTGTATTATGAAGTTACCTTTTATCGCAGATCGATTTCTGTAATCGATGGTGGCCCCAAGATAAAAATGAATAAGGCTAATGAGAGCAAATAAAATAACGCATTTGCCTCCCCAGCAACTAAAACTAAGGCCATGGCTAGGTGATATTTGCAGCGAACAACTTGTGGACTACTGATCTTGAGTTCATAATGTCAAAACTTTGAACAGGAAGAAGAGAAAACAAAGGTTAACCTAATATATTGCAACATTGGTCATGTCACAGTCCATAATTAGTTGAATTCATATATTTCAGATGTTACATATTCAACTTGGATCCTAAAACCAGGTAAACTTGTTCAAATTTGCAGAAAGGAATATATTAGACTGGTATATTGAACCACTCATAAGAACAGGATAGGATTGACGGATCAATTCTTGAAAGTTAGTGATAAATGATGACACGATGTACATAGTACAATGGAAATCGACAATGTTCTGTCTGTTTCTCAAATGCAGCATGGATAAATTAGGAAGCTATGTACATAATCGGCATCTGCGCAACTTTTATGAGCCATCCATATGTTGGAATCAGAATGAAAAAAGGACTGCAGCATGATAAAACCAAGGAGAACGTTTAAGCAGTGTCAAGCTTCTTTCATTCTCCCGGTAGTTTCATCCCAGGCTTCTACTTGTGCACTGTTCTTTTTGCCCACGTTTTCATGTGCCCAGAAAGGTGTATCAAGAGTGCGCCTCAGTTCTTTCACTGCCATTGGGTTGCCCTTGCTCTGCGAATTCAAGCAATCAATGAGAACACTAATAACTTCTAGACAAAAAGAAACGGACAACTGGAATGATAGTTCACTTGTGACACTGTATTAGACCAATGATCACATGAATGTGCAAACAATTAAAATGCAGGGTCACTATTCACTAGTATAATCAGGGAATATAACATAATATATAGAGAGAGAGACAGATTTGACCTAATTAACACCCTATAAACCTAATATACCTAATATAACACCGTTTGACCAATATTTTCTTAACTAACACATTTTCAGTTAAGGTGGCATAAAGGACGTAAGACGCGTTTTGAGGGATGTGCTTTCCACGTGTAAAAATCGAGTGCTAATATTGTAAATATTTTTAAAATGATGTCTAATATGTAATTAAATTCTATTAGGGTGATATTTATATAAAATCGTCAACTTTATTTATTTATTTTTTTGTTGTGAAAAAAACACGTTAAAATCTTTAAATATTATATTACAAATTATTTTATAACTCGACAAATTTTGATTTTTGCATGAAATTATACAATACGTATAATTTAGTATATGAAAACTTTGAGATTAAGTAATTTAAAATATGAATAATTTTATAAAAGTTTTATAACTAGTATTTTTTTATAAAATGATGATGATGATTATGATGATAAGAAATATTTTATAATTTTAAAAATTATAAAATTCATATATTTTAAAAAAATTATTAACTTTAAAATTAATTGTTTAAAAATATAAAAAATATAAAAATAAACTTTTAATTATAACTGAGAGATCAAATAAATTATTATTTATTAATTATTAAAATATCACCTCTTTATTTAAAATATTCTTTCTAATATTAATTTTAAAAAATATAAAATAAATATTAAATTATAATGAAAAAGAATGTAAACCTAAAAAATATCACTTTTTATTTAAAATATTCTTTCTAATATTAATTTTAAAAAATATATAATATAAATATTAATGAATAATGAATAATAATTCATTTAATCCCTCAATTATAATTAAAAGTTTATTTTAATTTTTTTATTTTTAAATAATTAAATATTTACAATATAAGCACTCAATTTTTACACGTGACTGGAAAATGCATCTTTGAAAATGCGCTTTACGTCCACATAAGAAAACCTCAGTAAAATGCATCTCTGGGAACGCGTCTTTTTTTCAACTCGGCCGAAAGAATGTTAGTTAGAGAAATATTGATCAAACGGTATTATATCATGAACTATAGGTCTATACGGTGTTAGTTAGGTAAAATCACCTATATATAGTCGTACCATCAAGTAGGTGCCTTCATTCAAGTTTCAGACAGGGTCAGTTGTAGTGGTCGTCGCAGCAAGTCGCAGCCTCAAGTGGGCAGCACCCCAAAGAAAAGCAGTAGCCATGGTACTCAGAGGCACAGCAGAAAGTACTGATGTCGGGACAGCTGTAATAATTATCACAGACACTTGCCTGTTGCTGTACTGCATAGGTTTCTTTCCATCCTGATATAGCCTGATTCTCCCCATTGATCACCGCATGAGTTCTTTACATTATTCAAACTCCAATTTCAAGATACATTCTTGCTTCGTAATCTAGTACAAAGTTACTAACTAGACATTATTTGAACTTCGGTTATTTTTAAGGATAGTATTCTTACAGAAGTATGCAATTGGAAATTAAGACCTGCCTCCCGCTTCAATTGTAACCACTTCACCCGATTCAAGTGAAATAAGTCCGATCCAAAAGGCTCGTTAATTTATTTTTTCTAAATTTAACACAAATGTGATTTAAGCCAACATTGAATTTATCCCTCAAGTTATTGATTTAAAACATTAAGAAACTGAATTAATTCAATTAATAAGTTAAATAAAAAAACAAATGCATATCAAATTCAAATTCAAAATTCAATGTTTAAAATAAATTTAAAGTCCAATGTCTAAAAATATATATAAACAAATAAACAATACACTACTAACATAACCTAAGATAGTAAATCTAAATAAATAATAATAATAAAAACTAAAATACGTCATAAATCTTTAAGTATCGATTCACTTAAACTCGAGAATCTGAAAGAAAAATTAAAAGGGTGTAAACTATTAAGTTTGGTGTGTTTCTAAATTACAATCGGCAAACAAGTTCAAAACACAAATATATTCACAGTAAGTCATAATAATCATATTCCAAATGAAATGAAAATGTAAATCCACTTATACATTACACACCATTCGAAGAGTAGGTTCTCCAACCACTCTCTCTAAAACACACAATTCGAAGTGGGTCCAACACAAAGACAAAGACCATCAAATCCGAAGTAAAATGAACTGAACTTCCTTTATCGATCTTACTTTGAATATGATATGCATATTCAAAGTTTGAATGCATAGCTTAAAATTTCAAATATGATAAATCAATATGTTTCACATAACACAAATTTATGTACGACAAATCACATTCAACATATATCATTTTCGGAGATATGGAGAGGATGGCGGCGAGGTGGTGTGAGGCGGCGTTAAAAAACAGAGGAATGAAGGAGAAAATAAAATGGGGTTTAAAACAGAGAAGGGTTTGTGTTTTTGAAATAGACTCAAACTTTGTTTTCTTTGCAAAAAGGTCACTGAAGTTCTTGAAAGTTTCTATTTAATTCATAGGTCCAATTTAAGAAATTTTCTCTCTCTAGATTTTAGGATTTTCAATTTGAGATTAATTCGAGATGTTACATCAACGGCAACGCTAACTGGTCAAACTACAAGAGCCATTTTAAACGTGTTCTCATCATTTATTGGAACATCTTCGTAAGAATCAATCCTAACAACCTTGGCATTTTTCTACAGGTGTAGAAAACAAGAGGAAGGAACGCATTTGTCACTAATATAATATTGTCTCAAATCTGACATTAATATTTGATTACACCAATATTGTCTCAAATCTGACATGGCACGCATTTGTCACTTTCTAAAATAATTTTCTTGAATCTGTTTCTTAATGGACCACTTTGATTGTCCTCTCCTGTAGGTGCAATTTGATGGGCCTC